GGATACAAAGAATCACAAGTACTTAAAAAACTGAAAAATAGCCTCAAACCTAGCTAGAATAAAGAACCATATCTATTTCATGTGGTCAATGATTTATGAATGATTATTCAATTTATCATACACCCAAAAGCAAATTATAAATTTAATTGGTATACAATTGAAATGAATTCCACCTAGACATGTGGGTAGGCAAATCATATCTAAACTAAAACTCACTTACCTTGGAAGGTATACTGACATCATACTACATCAGCAGAGGGCTTCGAATCACACAAGTGGCTTACTTGGAATGAAATTCATTTCAATGTCCCAATGATCTTCATCTTGGTGATTTTGGTGAATGACAGATCATTGTTGTTCTGGTCATTTAGTGAAATAACAAATACATTAGTTTTGTTTTGTAAACAACGAGGTATCCTTTTGTGCTGCTAAATTGCTAATTTCGTTTCGTTACCGAATTTCTTGAAAATCCACGAAAAAGTGAGGTTAGGAAAGCCCAGTAAACACAAAGCACATTCTTCGTCTTCGTGATTGTTAAATGTTAAACCACATTAACCACAACCACAGTGAATTTCACGTACTCAAATGATCACTATTAAACCAAAGTTTGATTAAACCTACAATACAAGCAAGAATTATATTTTGGATGCAATTTGCATCAGTTCAATTTCAGAACGTTGTGGAATGTGATGCCACAAATTTCTTTAATTGATCTATATTGTGATGACGCCTGGGATGCCTCAATTTTATCACGTTGATAGAACGTGTGATGAAACAAAGTTCTTTGATTGATCTCCTTTGTGATGACGCCTGAGATGCCTAAATTTTATCACGTTGATAGAACGTGTGATGGAACAAAGGTCTTCAATTGATCTGCTTTGTGATGACGCCTGGGATGCCTCAATTTTATCACGTTGATAAAACGTGTGATGAAACAAAGTTCTTTAATTGATCTGCTTTGTGATGACGCCTGGGATGCCTCAATTTTATCACGTTGATAGAACGTGTGATGAAACAAAGTTCTTTAATTGATCTCCTTTGTGATGACGCCTGAGATGCCTCAATTTTATCACGTTGATAGAACGTGTGATGAAACAAAGTTCTTTAATTGATCTGCTTTGTGATGACGCCTGGGATGCCTCAATTTTATCACGTTGATAGAACGTGTGATGAAACAAAGTTCTTCGATTGATCTCTTGTGTGATGACGCCTAGGGTGTCTCAATTTTATCACATTGATAGAACGTGTGATGAAACACTGATTTGTAGCAGTAGCATGTTATATTTTAGATGCAAGTTGCATATGTTTCAGAACGGTGTGATGAAACAAAGTTCTTTGACTGATCTCTCTTGTGATAGAGCTGAGACATGTGTGGTTAACTGGGTTGGTGACGTCACGACGAAAAACCGCATCTATCAGTGCTCACTTTCTTCCATGGAATGAAAAACACGCCCTAAAATCTACCATTTCATGTCCGGTTTTCAGTAGTGAACTGTAGAGTCACTGGATGGTATTAGGGTCCCTTGATGGAAATTGACGTTAAAGTCATCCTAACAGGGTACGGACAGATCCTCGTCTCCTCTCACTCTAAAGTGTTTGTGAAACAGTTATATAGTTCCATCCTTATTCAATTCTAGGGAAAAACACTAGATTTTTGACATTTGTTGTTTTTTAGGTTATATTGAGGTCACTGGCGTATCATACGTAATTTCCATATGGAATTCCCGATTCAACTATACCAAGATATAGATGAACAGTCCTCTAGATTTAGAGTTTACTACTCCAGCATAATCTTTGCGAGGTAGGGAACATATAAATTATACTGAAAGCTTAATATATTTCACTAAGAGAGACTGTTCTTAGACTGTATACTAGGGTTGACTGAATTGACTGAATGAATTCTGATTTCAAGCTGAGCAGAAGTTTATCTATCAGCTTGATGAGCTGAGCCTTATGATTGAGAAATGATGGAAACCGAAACTACTGTACTTATTCATGTGTGCTCAATATATTTTTGGAAATCCAGCTCGGTGAAGAATTTATGGAGTGACTAATATCACTTAAATCATGTATAAAACTTTGTCTAGGACGAAATTTAGGCTGATAAAAAGTAATACGTAAAATATGCAGGAAAATAAAGAATAGAATATACTTTACCCCCATGTTATACATATGATTTTTCCGTCCCCCTCAAATTAAAAGTCATTTTCGAACAATTGATTGATAAAAGTAACAAAGATGTAGGTATACGCAGTATAACTTATAGTCACGTTATTTTCACTCTTGCATCCTACATATTTTCTATTTGTGGTAGAGTATTAATCATATAAACTAATGTCTTTCGCCATATCGAATCCGCCATCTTGAATTTTCCAAGTTTGCATGACGAAACAATAATTATCTCCAACCCCGGAAAACCCCAGATATCTTCCAATTTTGAATAGAATCGGATCATAATTACAAAACTCGTTCGCCCTATGATCTTCAACAAGTAAACACCCTGTACATACCTATTATTGAAATTTTGAATGATTTTCTGTAGCGCCCATGGATGTGACGTGACAGCAATGTCAGTGATGCCAGTAGACAAAACTAAAGTCTCTAGATCATTAAAAAAGAATGCAGCTATGATCTGTCCGTACCCTGTTGAGATGACTTTAACGTCAATTTTCATCAAGGGACCCTAGATGGTATTAGTTTGAGTTCGGACACAGCTGAACTTTTGTCCTTTTCTATTTTCTATAATACAATGGTTTAAGTGAATAAAAGAATAAGACATATATTCTGCTCTTTGTCTTTTCAATTTCCCTAGTAGTGCCTGATTGTCAGATACGATTTTAGAGGTTATATTTTCTGTCAAATCAATCATAGCCGTAGATAAACAATGGATATGGGGTACACAATTTATAGTAATTTAGTGATACACTTCTAACAGAACAACTGTTATAAAAATGAAAAGAATGCATGTAACAACATTTAAATATTGGAAAATATACACATATGGATAGACTTATAGTTATAATTCCTTATTGTATGTGAAACTGTACTGCAGTGATAAGTATAAAACATGAAGTTATTAATATTAAATCAAAGGTAGGTATTCTCAATATACAGGAAGTAACATAAGTACGTTCAAGTGTAGAATTCCTGAGACAATTTTAAGAAATAAAGTCTGTATAAGCTTGTGTCCGAAAATGCTTTATTTCGGAGATACAGGGTGTTGAAATACAGAGAACAAATCATTTTTCGATAAACATTTCATAGGAAAAATAGTTATTTATTATACAAGGGAAAAAAGTTGTAGATTTTAGCTCCAGAGGTTGTGTTGTCTCCCGACGCGTAGCGGAGGGAGACAAAAAACCGTGAGCTAAAATCTAATATTTTTCCCGTGTATAATACACTATTTTTTTCTGTGACAGAAGAAAGGACGAATCAATATTGAGGAAATGTTACATTATTTTGAAATCTGAAAATTATCGACGTGAAATTTTAAGTTTTTAACAGTAGGGACACCTGCGTTCTATAGGCATCTTCATCATTCTTTTGAAGTAATCAAATATTTGATGTCACTTCTGTCAGTCTAATTCTGTGATTTGATTTCAAAAAATTGCGAATTTAGTGCTTGTTTATTTAGTAATATACGTAACCGCGAAGTCGAATCGAAGATAAGGACTTGCAGTTCTTTCTCGGAGACGGTATTATTGACTCATTTTTCGGAACTATAGCACAACAAAAGCCATCAACAGTGTATATATATGTGATATATATCCGGGAAAAAAGTACTCACTTTTTGCCCACGGGAAAAAAGTAATTTATGAAAAGTGACATTTTATAACCTGCCAACAGAGATGAAAAGCCAAACTTTTTTCCCGTCACAGAAAAAAGTAATTTATTTTGACGATACCTACCAAATACTTGGTTTTGTAAAGTTCTCAGCAACTTCACTTAGCGCCCTAGGAGCTAATTAACATGGATCGATATAGAAAATATTTTCAAAACGATAACCTCCAGCGTAATTAAGGCCCTTTTAATAATTCCCTTGATACATGAATATCTATTTATTTTCCACTGTTGAATTTTGAATTTGGTAGGCACCATAAACGCCATTCAATAATATATCACGTTGTAGTTTAGTTGCTTTCCTTAGTTTCGTTTTCAAATTTTCAATTTCATTATGTAATTATGCGATCATTTCCTTTTTCTCCATGATTATTTTGTTTTGTATTTTGTGTGATGAATTAAGGAATTTTGTTCTTGAAATCGTCTGCATTGTAAATTGATGGAACAGCAGATTCTCTCAAACAGATTTTGAAATCTTCTGTTCGAAAATGGACCTAAAATATAGTTTCATTCTAATCAGATCCTGTTATAAGAAGTGAATTTCAATGAGTACCTCACAAATTTCGCTCGTCTTCAAATTGATTTTCCACCCAGGCCGTTTCATATCTTCTTTCCATAAACGAATGCTTGATATTTGATTTGGAAAATTGAATAAACGATATCCATTTTTTTCAGAATTGGCACAATTTATTACACAGCAAGTGATTTCCATAGCTGCTTTTTTCTCGAAAGTATAATTATGAAATTTTATTTCAATTTTGACGTTTATAAAATTAATTGTCAAATTCAAACAATTTTGAATGAAGAAACGCGGGACGACTATGGTGCTCTTGTCACAATGCAAGGTGTGTAACTTAATAAATCTAAACATTCAAAAACCCTAACGGTTGTCATTTCTGTGTCCGAACTCTTATCAAACTAATACGATCCAGTGACTCTAGTGAACTGGAATAAACGTGTTCTATCTATATCTATAACCCGTCAGACAGTCTAGATATTTAGCCGTCATTGGCTCGTTGTAAAAACAGTGTAACACCTGTTTCACCAATGGAACTTGCTTTATGCCTTATGTGTCAGTTTTAATGTCAAAAGCACGTCAAAATTGTCAAGTTCCACTGTCAGATTTTTGTTATCTTTCGTCAAGGTCATGAATAACTACTGTGAGAGTACTGAGTCATGAAGTAATAAATCATAATTCATAATAATTCTGTTTATATTATATTCTGCTTATGAAGCAGAAATCGAGAAGTGAAATAATGTTATATAAGATATATATTTGAGACTTTGCTTCTCTGCACGCTGTTGTTTTATAACTTGAAGTTTTTCCTATTAGCACCTATGTTGTTTTGTAGTTTGATTTGAAGCACGATATTTGAAGATCAGTACTCAGTAGTGTATTCTGTTTACCTAGTATAAAAGTGGGTATGTACAACAAACTATGGCTGCAAAAGTTGAATACTTAGAGATTCGTAATAGTATCTGTAGCATGGCATGTCCGGATCGTTATCTGGTCCAGATTAAATATAAATTTCACCGTGAAATCGACTCAAATAGGCTATATGATAGAATAACAACATTGCCATACCTCATTAGAATCCTTGAAAAGCGGGACGTACTCAATATTGCTTGTATTGATGCTTTTCGATTGATTGCCAAGATGTTAAACAACAAAAGGGTAGATGCCTTGATTGAGGGATATGGAAAGGCTAAGCAGCATGTTATTGCACCACCTCCAGCAGCTGTACATAGACCAGTACTTGGGCCAATACCTTCAGAGAATCTTAATAATATGAGAGTTTCAGCTCATCATATGGAAAACAACCCAGGTTAGTTACTTATTTCATATTAGTTTGTGGTATTTTGAATGAATGAATTGGAGAGATAGTCAGTGAATTTGTTAAATAGGTAAATAGGTGTAAGTTTCTATGAACAGACCATAGCAATGATCTCATACATCTTATGTTTATCTCTGGAAATGGATCTGAAACTAAGGATTTTTGATGATTTTTATTACATTTTTCCTGATATTTCATATTTATCCCTACAAGAAATATTTCTAGCAGAATAATAAACAGGAAATGATGGTGATGTAGGCTTGAAAACCCACACATAAGTAGCTATTTCTTCAAAACCATCTTGTTAACCCCAAATTCCACAGTATGGTATGTCAAAAGAATAGATAAATAGATAGATAGATATACCTAATCTGAATAGTTTTTGAGAAAATGAAGTATTCAAGTTGTTTAAGTTTGCTTAGTGACATTCAATTTATATTTCTGCTCTCTGCTTCTTATATCCATAAGGAAATGTAATTTTCATGACTGAGAATAACAATTTGAGGTCTGTATACTCAAAGATTGGGAGCATGTTTTTATAAAATGTCAGAATTTTTTAAATAGTTTTTGTTTTAGAATAGATTATTTGTTTACTTGTTTAGTCTATGGTTTTAGGCAGAGTTTGAAAACTATTTTCTTTTCACTATCTCTATCTAACTTCTCTTCATTTTCTCTTTCTGTTTTGTATTGACAATTACTGAGACAATTACCATAGAAAATAATTTGATTTGTCTAAGTGGAAATGAAGTAGTATCACTATTATGAGTGATATGAGCCTGGAGGTAAGCTTTTACTAACAAGCAAAGCAAGTGAAAACCTATAAATAATATCTTTTAGAATAGGTGATTCTTAGATTAAGGTGTATAAGAATATGATGCAAATAATGTTGAATAATGTAGGCTAATTACTCAGTACTCAAATATTTATGTAATGGATGTACCTAATCCTGAGAGCCCTTTGAGTATGACTTTGGTTCAAACCAACTACTAGTACCTGAATTATCCCTGTTTGATTGGTTTATACCCAGGTTTATACAAATAACTATGAAATTTGGCCAATGAAAATGGGATTCTGGTTAATATCAGTCTGAGGACCAGTTGACCTATAGATATGGGAATTTGGAACCATCCAAAATGTTAGCAGAGCAAATATTTTCATTTTACAGAATTTCAGGTTCCCTCTGTAACTCATACAACTGCAAATGTGATTGCTATGCAGTAATATAGGAGAGAGTGAATGGAGGAGTGGAGTATATGACTTGTCTGTCAAAAATGCTCTGATTGCAATGCAGAATATGTTGGTCAGACAGGGAGAGCTTTTTGCACCAGGATAGCAGAACATAAAAAGACAATTTACAAATATAGTAACTCTGATATTATCAACACTACATCTTCTTCAGCAAACCATTTTCTGGAGAATAAACACACACATAATATACTACAAGATTTTGAAGTCCTACATGTTCATCCTAAAGGCAAAAAGCTTAACCTTCTGGAAATTTTAGAAATCAATAGATCTGCTCATTCAAATTCAACTGTCTGCCTTAATGAACAAGTTAGATTTGATTGCCTATCCACTTTCAATTCCATTTTGTAATCTTCCTCTCCATTCATCGGTTGCATTGGCAATCCTTTTGTTTAATGTTGTCATTCCTAATTCAAAAAACACAATTTTGATACAAAAAAGAAGCATCTTAAGAAAAATGTTTATCTGGGGGTTCAAAAATGTTTTTTTAAAATTATTTGGGGCCTAAAACCCTTGTGAACCATGTTACCAATTTAATAGTTTCTTTTCTCCTCCTACCTAGCAAGGTATGTCACCCATTTTCCAATAGTGATGGAACTTCTTTTATTTATAAGTTTTTTGTATTTTAGCCTGATGATGACTCCTAGGAGTCGAAACATGTAGCACGTATTATTTTATTTGAATTTACTTGGAGCGAGACTTTGAGTTTGTTCTCTTAATTATATCATCACCTCCAATTTGAGCATGGACTACTACCAGAGATTTTTGTTTATTATTGTTTTTTGTATATTCGATAATACAGGAGTTGCAAATATAGAATATTACTTGGGATATCATAAACAGTGGTATGAGAAAGAATCCCGCAAATAGGCGAAGTCCCATATTTTCACTAAAAATCTGTCAGTCTGAAATTACATAAAAAATTTAGGTTAAAATTTTCGAAAATATCCTCATAAGTATGGTAATTCAAACAATAAGGAATTATGAATATGAATAAATGGGGCTGTACAAACCAGGGTTGGCATGAATTAATTCATATGAATTAAATCAGTGATTTAATTCGTGGATTAATTCCATTGACTTTTTTCGAAAAAGTCATGAATACATTGAAATTTTTAAAAATGAGACAAATTGCACTATTACCTTTGATTTTAACTAGTTTAAACTGAAAAATTCGATCGTATTCTGGCAAGACTTTGTTATTTCAAGCATGACAGAGATTTTTACTAACAGATATATACAGTATCAAGTATCATCCATAAAGTCCATAACATATGAGAACAGGTTTATTATCACAGCATCGAATTTTTTTCTCTCGGCGATCCATTATGCATATTCGAAAACTTGAAAATCGATTTTGACACATGTCACGTGATCACTGGTATGGTGATAAATAAAAATAATACTGTAAAGCGACGAAAAGTGGGGTTAGATAACAAAATATCCATAAACATTTCTTATTAAGTTTCTATTCCACATTCAGTTTCTAAATTTTTTCGAATATTCTTCAATTTTGTTACAATTCTCTTTTTTTTTTTTTGGCAGTAGTGATGTTGATGATGTACAAGTTGAATAGAATTCAATTTCATGCTCACATATGGAGTTTCCAGCCATTATTTGAGAAAACTGAAAATAGCGATTTTTATTTTTTTTAAATAACTTTATCTTCCCATCTAACCCCACTTTTTGCCATCGTAATTTTTTGAATTTACCGCCATACCAGTGATCAAGTGACATGTGTCAAAATCGACTTTTAAGTAGTCAGGCATGCATAATAGATCCCCGAGAAAAAATGTTTCGATATTCTACTAATAAACTTTTTCTCCATGTGTTACGAATTTTATGGATGATACTGGATCTATATGTATCTATTATTTTGTATTCTATCATCACTTTAATTTTGTTTTGAAATAATGACATGTTATATTATGATGTTATTCTATAAGATTTCTGAAGGGAATGAAAACATAGTTTTTTTGTTTCTTTTTTTCTATTTCGCTCTGGGTAAATGAAATTTGTTTTTTTTTTCAAATGAATTAATTCAAAAAAGTCTGACTCAATTCAAAAAGTCGTACTTTGATGACTTTTTTATAAAAGTTATGACTTATTCCAACCCTGCACATTTTCTTGTTTGTTATGAACTTTGATGTTATGGTCCATTGAGTCAACTTCAATGTTTTGTGTATTTGATAGATGACATTTGTCACTTGTTTGTCAAAAAATAATTTTTATCTACCATTTTTATCTTTCAAATCAAGACTTCATACTCGCGCCATTTGCTGTACACTATGTTAGTTTTTTGATACAAAAAAGAAGCATCTTAAGAAAAATGTTTATCTGGGGGTTCAAAAAACCAAAATTCAAAAATGAGTTTTAAAATTATTTGGGACCTAAAACCTTTTTGAACCATGTTACCAATTTAATAGTTTCTTTTCTCCTCCTACCTAGCAAGGTATGCCACCCATTTTCCAATAGTGATGGAACTTCTTTTATTTATAAGTTTTTTGTATTTTAGCCTGATGATGATTCCCTAGGAGTCGAAACATGTAGCACGTATTATTTTATTTAAATTTACTTGGAGCGAGACTTTGAATTTGTTCTCTTAATTATCTCATCACCTCCAATTTGAGCAGGGACTACTACCAGAGATTTTTGTTTATTATTGTTTTTTGTATATTCGATAATACAGGAGTTGCAAATATAGAATATTACTTGGGATATCATAAACAGTGGTATGAGAAAGAATCCCGCAAATAGGTGAAGTCCCATATTTTCACTAAAAAAGTAAAAATCTGTCAGTCTGAAATTACATAAAAAATTTAGGTTAAAATTTTCGAAAATATCCTCATAAGTATGGTAATTCAAACAATTAGGAATTATGAATATGAATAAATGGGGCTGTACAAACTAGTGGAATTTATGCAACAAACCTATTTCAAATTGATCATTCCATGTATGAATAGTATTTGATGCAATCATATGTTATTTAAGATCATCGCAAATTTATTTTTCAATAATGAAATTCGCACCTTCGAAAAACGCCTGCTTCGATGACATCAAGAACCGAACCAAAAGTCTTCTCCTGAATTCTGGCTTCTGCATAAAAAGTGGGACCACATATGTTGACGCTGCCAGATTTGTACCTAGTTATTATCTCATGAGATTCAATATGACCAATGACAACAATATTCACATTCACAGAACACAATAGTTCACCCTGGTCTCTAATAATCACTTATTAAATACTTACATACTTGCAAGATGCTTCAAGGCCAATAAAAATATCCTCATATTAATTTAAATCCAAATTTTTTTCTGGCCCTCGCAACAGCGTAACGCCTTCACTTCTTCTTCTTCTTCTTCTTCTTCTTCTTCTTCTTCTTCTTCTTCTTCTTCTTCTTCTTCTTCTTCTTCTTCTTCTTCTTCTTCTTCGAAGCACTGGTGGGCGGGTGAACCCCCTGCACGTGGGCCTCCTTATTCGGGCCCATTGTGCGCCCACATGTTACGACATTCAGCTGGGTATGCCGACTGCCTTAGAGAAGTTCAGCAGCTTCCTCAGCTCAGTCTCTTTTACGTCCTCTGGCCTCAAAATTATGTTGCCAAGGACAGCCCTCCTCTGATGCGTCAGTGCTGGACACTCAGTGAGGACATGTGATGACGTTTCGTCATCTTCCAGGCACCATCCTTGATCCCAATAAGCTCTAGGTGCCTATTGAGGTGGTTGTGCCCCGTTAGGAGCCCCACTA